GCCTCCTGAGTCTGGTGGGGCACCTAGAGTCCCCCTGTATCCCACTGCTGAGCCGGGGAGATGCTGGGGGGCCCCCAGTGCACTCCCTGGTGGACTGGAAGTATTTCTGCGCTCCTGTGAGATGCTCCATCTGCCCCAGCATCACAGCATTCACGAGCTGTGCCTGTTACGTTGAGGTATGTAGAAAAAACATTTAAAGCTGTGTCTACATCTGAGTCGCTGATTCTCTGAATCAGCATTGAATCTTCAGATTCAGATTTGGCCGAATCGAATTGGGGGCAGTGATCTGAATCAATGCATTGAATCACTGTCCCTAATTTGGGCCAAATCTGAATCAAATACAGCCCATTTCACACATCCTTAATATTTATATGGCACCAGCTCTGTTGGACAGGGCATGTCATAACGATGCCTGGCAACCAGCTCACAGAACGAGTCCTATACTCCCAACTCCCTAATGGTCACTGTTCTAGAAGTGGGCAAAAGAAGAGATTCAAGGATACCTTGAAGGCCAATCTGAAGTAATGGAATATTAACATCAATACCTGGGAGACTTGAGCACTGAATCTTCCTCAGTGGCACAGTGAAGTACTACAAGGTATCGACTGTTTTGAGCAAACAGTTTGCTATGGAAGCAGATAGCCAAGAGAGACAAAGGGAAAGAGCTGTGGCCTGACATCACCAGGATCTATTCCCTTCTCCTGAAACTATTTGCCATGTCTGCAGTTGAACGTGCATATCTTGGATCGGCCTCCTGAATCATCTACAGACTCACCAATGTCTTCTCTATTTACTGGATGACTGTCATCCTTTGTATTGAGGGACTGATGCTGTTGCCACTGAACCTGACCTAATCAACATGATGTCTAAAATATCTACTATTACTGGTGGTCCACTTCCCAAGGTTGCCACAGATAAACTTGTGTTAGTGTGCAGCTATGTGGACATATGCTAAAGGACTTGTTTAAGGTGACTTAGGAAACCTTTGGCAGTACACAGAATTGAAACCAGGTTTCCAGAGTCCTAGTTCCTTTGGCACCAGATCATCCTTTTCTAGCTACCTCTTGGCTTTTTTACATCCACCCTCATAGTAGGCCTGTGCGAGTCGGCAGCGAATTGATCTGGCTTGGATCCAGCCACTTCAGATGGCTGCGATCTCATCTGGAGCTCTGGACTGGGTTTCGGCCTTGATCCAGCTGAAGTGGCTCCGAAGCTTCGGAGCCACCTTGGAGATCTAGCCTTAGGGTATAATGGGGAATCAATGAAATATGTATAACTTTGTTGTTTTTTGTTCAATTTGGATTAAACTTGCAGGGATGGTAGCCTCTGCTGAGGGCATGAAACCTGCCAAGTTTCAAGAAGATCAGTACAGGGGTTTGGGGGAACTGTACCCCAAATTCTTGAAAGCCAAACTCATGTCACAGCTGTCTATTACACCACAGGGGGGTCAAAACTGCAGGGATGTTTGCTCTTACTGAGGCCACAAAGCCTGCCACGTTTCAAGGAGATATAGGTGCAGGGGTTTGGGGAGAACTGCACCTCAAGCTGTGGACAAGCAAAACTTGTGCCATGGGTGACACTGCATGTGTTCAGGCGCTGCAGGGATGGTGGCCCCTGCTGAGGCCACGATGCCTGCTGGCTGTCGAGGAGATCGGTGCAGGGGGGTTTTGGGGCCCTGCACCCCTCGCTGCTGACAGACAGAACTCCTGCCAAGACTGTGGGGCAGTTGGCTGTCTGTATTGATTCTTTCCTCTCCTTTGCCTGGTTTTGTAGGTGCTAATTGATGCTCGTTAAGTCATTATGTAGTAGCTAGGTCCTGTGTATTGAGCTGGTCCCTGAGTGAATCATGACTGATTGATTAATTGATTGGTAACAGGTAACACAGTATCTTAGCAGCCAGGCCTGCAATGGTGTCTCCCCTCCCCACCCCAAGACAGAGACAGTCAGTCCCACCAGCACCCAAGGCAGATTTGCTTGTCCGCAGCTTGAGGGGCAGTTCCCTCCAAACCCCTGCATGGATCTTCTTGAAACTTGGCAGGCTTTGTGGCCTCAGTAAGAGTTACTAGCCCTGCAGTTGTAACACATAGATGTGACATGAGTTTTGCTTTCAAGAATTTGGGGTGCTGTTTCCCCCCAAACCCCTGCACTGATCTTCTTGAAACTTGGCAGGCTTCATCCTCTCTGTGGAGTCTACCACCCCTGAAAATTTTATCCAAATTGGACAAAAAACAAGGAAGTTACAGATATTTTATTGTTTCCCCTTTATACCCTATGGCCACATCTCCAAGGTGGCTCCGAAGCATTTTGGGAAGCCTAACAAGGCCAGCACTTTGACCCGGATGTGCTGCTTTGGACCCCAAAACGTCTGAACCTTCTCTGGATCCGAAGCTCTGTCTGAAGCCTCGCACAGCCCTACCTCATAGCCACTATATTAACTATACGCTGAGGTTTTCTCTGAGAGTATTTCCTTACTATTGCCTCGATAT